TGGTATTGTTGTCATTATTATCAATGGCATCATTGTCATAATTAGCAAATGTATCATTGTTATAATTAGCAATGGTATTATTGTCATAAATAGCAATGGCATCATCTGTCATATTTAGCAGTGGCAATATTGTAATAATTAGTAATAGTATCATTGTCATAATTAGCAATGGCATCATGGTCATAATTAGAAATGGCATTATTGCCATCATTAGCAATGGCATCATTGTTATTATTAGCAATGGTATCGTTGTCATTATTATCAATGGCATCATTGTCATAATTAGCAATTGTATCATTGTTATAATTAGGAATGGTATTATTGTCATAATTAGCAATGGAATCACCTGTCATATTTAGCAGTGGCATCATTGTCATAATTAGCAATGTTATTTTTGTCATTATTATCAATGGCATCACTTTCATAATTAGCAATGGTATCATAGTTATAATTAGCAATGGTATTATTGTCATAAATAGCAATGGCATCATCTGTCATATTTAGCAGTGGCATCATTGTCATAATTAGCATTGGCATCATTGACATAATTAGCAATGGCATCATTGACATAATTAGCAATGGCATCATTGACATAATTAGCAATGGCATCATTGTCCTATATAGCAATTGTATCATTGTCCTATATAGCAATGGCATCATGGTCATAATTAGAAATGGCATCATTGTCATAATTAGCAATGGTATCATTGTCATAATTAGCAATGGTATCATTGTCCTATATAGCAATGGCATCATTGTCATAATTAGCAATGGTATCATTGACATTATTATCAATGGCATCATCTGTCATAATTAGCAATGGCATCATTGTAATAATTAGTAATGTTATTATTGTCCTATATAGCAATGGCATCATGGTCATAATTAAAAGTAGCATCATTGTCATAATTAGCAATGCCATTCGGACCATTGACAAAATTAAATATCAAAGGTAGCGGTTTTAAAACGAATGGGTCGTGACCCCTTTTGGGTCTCATTAACCTTGGGTGGCTACCCCTCTAAGGGCCCATGATTTCAACAATGGATTTGGGACTAAATGTCGAGATGTAGCCTATTATGGTATTAGTTCTTTCTTTTTTTTTTTTTTTTCAATCCTCGTGCGCCCGACTGGTCAAGTCTATCTATTGAAATGCTTATGCGAGAGCTGTCTTCATGGCCATGCTTCTCTTCCACAAAAAAGTTGTATCTTTCTGGTCTTTTTGGGTCTTTCGAACTTTAATTTTTTATCAACAATGGATTTGGGACTAAATGTCGAGATGTAGCCTATTATGGTATTAGTTCTTTCTTTTTTTTTTTTTTCAATCCTCGTGCGCCCGACTGGTCAAGTCTATCTATTGAAATGCTTATGCGAGAGCTGTCTTCATGGCCATGCTTCTCTTCCACAAAATAGTTGTATCTTTCTGGTCTCTTTGGGTCTTCCGAAGTTTAATTTTTTTTCTTCTGGGCTGCGCCAATCTTGGTGCTGTCCTGGGAAGTGAGCTTGTTGTGAATTTGTTGCTATTATTTGCTGTCTCTCTCGATTTGCGCCTGTATTTCACTGGAGATTGTCTTTGGTCAGATGATGCTATGGATCATTTGTAAGCATTTGTTCTGAGCAACTGACAGCGTCCGTTCAAATATGCTAGTGGTTTTCGGGCACACTGGTCTATAGACGAGAATACTTAAGACATTGATCTGGTCTTGGTGTGGATGCATAGTTGGCTCCATCGCTATAGTTGGCTCCATCGCCATAAGAATTTCAACATTACTAAATGCTCCTTGCGTTTATTGTCGCAATCTTCTAGGGCAGTGTTTTTCAACCCATATCTAAGCATTGTTACGATACTTTACTGACCAACTTTAAGATTCCCACCCACAACGTCAATTTTTTGCACGCTGTGCTCACATGACGCGGCAATAGCTTGCAGCTTCAGTCACCTGATCCCTAGTTTTAGTTTGGTCGTCAGGTGTGACATCGTCTAATTTTCTTTTCTTAAACAAATCGGTTCGGAATTATGAAAATTAACCCAAACGCTAATTAGGACAACAGCGGAGAAGTAATGAGTGAATAGACGATTAATTACCGCACAGCGACGGTAGGTACTGACAAACTTGGACTTGACGATTTCGGTCGTTATTATTTTTATTTTTTACTGGCCACCGGCGGAACTCCTGACCAGCGCTCAGGGAACCCCGGTTGAAAAACAGTAATGTAGTTGGATGTTGCGAAACAATGCATGTTTTCATTTTTTCTCTTGACCAGTTCAGTGCAGTGTTTCTTTGAGATATTTTCCTCCGGGGCATTTTGGTTTCTCGCGAAGGGGGCAGTGCCAATTGCCAGAGGCGTAGCTAGGGGAGGAATAGGGGGCAGATGTATCCGGGTGCCCGACTAGCGGGGGGCACCAAAATGGGCTTTGATAGTATTTAGTTGAAGAAGATATAATGGGTTTCAGAAATGAAGCGCGGGGGATCCAAACACTCTAGCTACGCCTCTGCCAGTGGCGTAGAAAGGGGTGGAGATGGGGTTGTCCAGCCAGGTGTCATTTTTATCCTTATATGGAAGAGTTTCATTGTCGGACACATCTACTGTTTTATCGTGAAAGAGAGGGTGACAAAAATCTTGGCCCATCGATGGTGGCACTAATACTTTCTACGCCACTAGGCAGTGCATCTATCGGCACCAAAATTGGCAGTAATATTTATCAGGAATTCGGTTAAAAATTGAGGGCACCGGTGGTTCCTGAGCGGAAAAGGGGTCTGCTATACTGTAATTTTCACCGGGAAGCATGGCAGAAATCGAGTGCACTGATTACTCTTGAGCTGAAAAGGGGGGAGGGGTCTGGGGATCCCTTCCCCATACATTTTTTGGTTATTTCAAACCAAGAGGTGAATTTGGAGTATATCTACATGCAATGTTTCTATTAGACTATTTGATCGGGGGATATAATTTTTCAAGCGTCCGGGGTAGGCATTATTGCGCCCAGTATCATACATAAACTGAATTCAACCATGTTTTGGCGTGCCCCATGGTATTCATTTGGCACACGCCTAGATTCAACTCCGTACTGCCATTTTGATTGGCATGAAGAAAGGAGGAGCAGAAATTGAGGGTGCCGAAAACTCTCAAGCAAAAGCGGAGACAGGGGGGTCCGCATATAAAAATTTGGATTAATTCAAAATGCAAGGATGCGTTTAGGCGCACAATTGAATTTGTTGTTTCTTTCAGGCAATTTGGAAGAGGTCATTTCGAATTTCTGGTGGGAAGCAAAAGATTTAGCCATAATAAAGATCAGGTAAATCTCTAACTCCACCCCAGTCCAGCATAAACTAAATTCATTTCAATTGATGTCCTTGAGGGTATTCTTTTTGCCCTGGCTTAGTGTTGCCCCTTAAATCTTTATAGTCCCAGAAATTTTTGGATAAATTTAAAATGAAAGAATGTTTTTTTAGCACTCGTATAAATTAAGTTTTGGACCATTCTACACTTAATCGGAGAGAAACGGGAGAGATGCTAGTTAAAAATGTAGGTTTAATTTTCCCCTCAGAACCATCGTGTGGGCCCTGCAATCCCTGCGGCAGCAGGAAGCCTCCGGTATTTTATGAGCTCAAAGTTTCGCTGTTGACAATTTTAAATTATCAATTTTAAATGTAAGGTTCTGGAAGGACAAATCCGAAAAGTGGCAGGGGGGCCTCGGAAAGTCAAGCGGGCGGCTCTGCTTGACCTAGTTATGTAATACAAATATTTATTTTAGATTCGCCTACTAGGTAAAACTTAGGTTTTTCTCTTTTATTAAAACTATTTTTGGGGTAAACTGCTTAATAACTATATGATTTTTTTTTTTAAATCCCAAAAAATATTTCCATCACAAAAAAGCATTGCGAACATTATTTTAAATGTTGAGCGCATTCCGCAATGGCAAAAAAAAGGACATGTATTTATGAAAAATACACTTTCTAAAATAAGAAGTGGTTATTCGGACCCGGGTATCAGAAGTGAGAGGTTTGGGTTAAAAATTATTTAAAATATTATTGCTGGGTTTGTAAGACAAAATGAGGTATCCAATGAAAGATAATTGAATGGACTTTGTTTGTAAACTTATTTCTTCAGTTTAACTAAAATAAACTACCACACATGACATCCGAATGGGATTTAGTCTAACGGCACTCGGGTCCGAATAGCGGCTATGCGTACCCGGGTCCCTTAAGAAATCTAGAGTAAAGCAAACCTAATCATTACATTTCATCATAGAGTTAGACTACTACACAGCAAGGTAAGAATTAATTGATTTGGCCCTTTTTTTTTTCTTCTTTGAAAATAAATAATCTCATTTAAGTTCTAAGTTCTAAGTTTGGAAGTTCAATTTGTTGCATTAATGGCGCTTTAATGAAGATCGCCATTTTTTTTTTTTTTTTTTAAAATTAAGACCAGCATATTTAGAACAATTTTGGTACAAATGTGTCCATAAATAGCCTAGAAAATATTTGTGGTTACACGAAGAACATGACTTCTGTCTGTGAGGCATTCTTTAAAAAAAATAAAATAAAAACATTATCGTGATGCCAGTTTGGATGAATTATATTTAAAAAAAAAAAGTTGTGTTGTTTTGTATGCTTGCTTAACCGATAAACTTTGATAAAATATAAAATATTCATATTGACGGAACTGGCTACAACTTAAAGCTAACCAAGACAAAACAGTGCGAATTATCACCTTATTTATCATAAAAATATTTATTATTTAATACCTGCACCATTGTAACAGTGATTTTTGTGTCTGTATTTTTACCTTACATCTTACTGAAGAAGACCAAATACCTTTTCTGTCTAGTATAAATCTATGTTCCCCAACACCTTTATAACCGAAAGGTTAAAAAATTTAAGGCAACAACACTCAAATCTGCCACTGAGCAAGTCCATTGCCATCCCTAGCATCTCTAATTTTTCCATTACACAGATTTACACACTCAAGAAAGGACTAAAATTATAACAGAGATTATGCATTGTTTGAGTTGCAGATAGGCTTTTATTTCACTTCAGACAGTGTTCATGATCATGAAGATTGACTTCTGACTACTACAGTCATAGTGATACAAGTCAAAACAACACTAACTTATGACATGGGTTTGGCAATTTTTGAATCATAATAGAATTTTTTAAAATATGAATATGAATTAGTAACAGAGGTATGTGTTCAGAGTTATTAAACTTTACTTAAAACTCTTATTTTATTGTTCCTTTATTATCCTTTTATTTTTTGGATTGTTTTACTTTTAATCAAGCATTGTAAACTTCTAATGCAGGTTTTTAAAAATAAAAAAACTCCAGACAAGTATGTCTTCATGAAATGAAGAATAAACTTTTTAAAGAAAAATATTTTTTTTTACTGCTTTATTTCAGTTTTCTTTTGACAGAGATTATATTATCACATGATTGAAGAAGAACAAAAATAATGGTGGGGATCACAGATAAATCACAATGCACATAGGAAAACAAAAATCCAGTTTGGGTATTTACTGTTTATAACACTTAGGGAAGAAAATGTTCTAAGATATTATTACTTCAGTCAAACTATCAGCTGTTCAAATTCAGGAGGCTTCTTCAAACTTCTTGTCATAAAAAAATCTCCAAGCAATTAAAAGAGATCATTAAGACTTCTACTTTTTCTCTTTCCCTCAAAACCACATTCACAATGACTAGTAATTATAAGGTTCATAAAATGGGTTCGGTAAACAGATTGGTTTCTTTTAATGTCAGCACTAAATTATATAACATGTTTGAATACTAATAACATTTCCTAACTTACTCTGCTAATTTTGCCAATTATATTTGGAAATAGATTCTTCCCCTATAATGTTCATCTTTTTAACAACTTTTTGTCACACTATCAATGTCATAATTTAAAACAAAATGTTGTGTAAAACTATATACCGGGTATGGCACTAAACAAAATAAAAATTAAAATTAAATCTTCACATTCAAGTTCAATTTTCGAACCATCAATAAATTATGTGCACAATGTGAAATTATACTTTCGGATTTTGTTACAAATTGTAAAGATGTACTTGAACTGTTAACAATGGTTTATAAATGAAAAAATAAATAAATAACAAAACAACATCAACAACTGGGCATACATTGGACAATTAAAACTGGCCCATGCTTCTACCATTTAAAAATATCACCTAAAGTAGCCAATACTCTTTAAAAAAACAACTTAATATGTTCTATTTTATTTACCTATCAAATAATTAAGTAACCCATAAACATTTATTAAAAGTCTCAAGTTTTGTTAGAATTTTTACTTTGTAATTTACGGGTGTCCCATACCTCTGATTACTGAAGTATTTGTGATAAAGAGTGTAATTGAATACCTGGTATTATACATAAACAACATTTCAACACCATCTGTGTGAAAATGATTAATTTTTTTCATTTGAAGTTGTCTACAATAGGTTAAATTATCATGGGGCTTACTTCAGAAAAAAATTAAGATCCTTTTTGGAGCAGATAATGAAGTTATTTTAACAATTAAATAGGCCCTCTTTAAAATGCAAGTTTGAAATTATAATATAAATTCAATTTGTTCATTAAAATCAAACTAAGAAATTAAGTACATAAACCAAAGTTTTTAAAATTCAATCAAAATGAATATATTTATTCATAATGTATGTTTCTAATGAATAGGTAGTTATCATTTTCTTTTACTGTGTGACTTATAAACTTTGATGGTCAGAAATATATTATTAAAATTTATCAGAAAATATCTTTATTTAATTTGATCAATATAGTAAAAACAACTCAATATTCGTTTAACGCTGCACCTAAATCAAGCAACAGTTAAGTTAAGATCTGAATTATAAACATTTTGATAACCCTAAATGAAAGCTAAATCAAAACTTTGGAATGCATTACCCATTTATAAAAAGAACCAAATGTAATTTAAAAAAAAAGGAATTTGAAAGAAAAAAATTAATATTTTTTAAAATCAAGTTTTTAATCTAATTAAACAATATAATGCTCTGTGGTTTTAAATGACAAAGCTAACCCAGCTGTAATTAAGTCTTTAGGTAAATACTGAGCTAATAGTTAAACAAGAATTAGGCCTATAGTAGCTAAAGGGACACCATTCCATTCTTCACACTGCACATTTCATAAGACGGAGAACAAAACTATAAGTAGGTAAAGATCACAAATATGACTTGAGAAAAAAATAAAACCAGGGAAGGTCTAATCACTTCCAAAATAAGAACCACAAAAACATCTTCTTCATTGTCAGACTGATCTATGAGGAATGAACAGTACAGGTGGCTGATGCGGAGTCACGTGACAAAATGTTACACAGTCCATCTATCAGCTTGACAAGGTCGCTCCACAAAAATATGTTTTCATTTTGGTTACAGATTATGGGCTTGGCCAATCATTGAGTTTTCTTGGAAATTTGTGGATGTCTTGTAAGAGCTTGCTGGGGGATTTTTTCCATTCTACTGAGGGAGTGCTTTCAAAATAGCATGTACTTCTTCAGCTACTGCAGCCAGGGAGAACTGGAATTGCTCCTTTAACAAGGAAAGTGAAATAAAGTTAAAATGTAAAAAAAAAAATCAATAACTAAATATTTTTACGTTTCTGTTTTTTTTAGGAATTCATATGTATATTTGTTTTAGACAATGCTGGCTTTTTAAGGCAGCCACAACACTACATTACATAGCAAACTAAAGAAAACTACAATTTTTTTGTTGTTTTCACTTTGGTCACATCTCTGAATAATGGATATTAATATATAGGCCTACAAATGTAAAACTTGGAATATATTTTTAACGTCTGATATCCTTATATATGCCTATATTGCAACTACTAGAAACTAAGTAGTAGTGTTGCTATAGACATTAGGCATAAAATATTGGTTTTTTCAATTAGATTAAACTAAGTGAGAAAAAAAGTACATCAATAATATTGTACATAGTGCTAAATAGCAAAGAAACGCTTTTTTATTGAAAAGAAAATAAGTTTAAAAATATGTTGTTGTTAGATGAGTTATATTTTATAGATTGCTAAGTTTAACTTACCTTAGTTTTCACCATAGACATGCGCTGATCACGAATGTGTTCAAGGGTAGCAGCCATGTCAATTTCTTTGGCTCCTATGAAAAAAAATGAAAAGTAACTTAATCAAGATACAGTACTCTCACGTTTCTTTAAATTAGTTTTCCTCTACATCAGCGGTTCTCAACCTGTGGGTTGCGACCCCTTTGGGGGTCGCATGACCCTTTCACAGGGGTCGCCTAAGACCATCTGAAAACACATCTACTCGACAGTTACAAAGTATCAACGAAAATAATTTTGTGGTTCGGGGGTCGCCACAACATGGGGAACTGTAGTAAGGGGGTCGTGGCATTAGAAAGGTTGAGAACCACTGCTCTACATAATCATTAAAATAATTTAGTAGGTAAATAATTTAACTTTTGTTGACAAGCCAGAAGCTTATTATTCCAAAATTAAAAAAAATGACTGTATTTTTTTAGATCTTTATGAAATATTGCAACACTGAGTAACCATAAAACATAAACTTTAAATTGACAATAAAATATAAATATTTGACTCACCTTTGGCCATTTTATTGAGTACCATGTCAATGAGGCAGTAAGTGCCTGAGCGGCCACATCCATCACTGGGGAGTTGATTGAAACAGAAGAAATTATAACTTAAAATCAAAATGGTTACAACAACAGTAATTAATGGTTTTCAACTTTAAAAAAAAGTAATTTCTAAGTGCACCAAATAAAAAGTAAATTTTTAATGTCACAATATTTATTTTATGGCTGTGCTTTTTGATTACAGATTGTAAATCTATGTTTGCACTACATAATTTAAATTTAAGAGTTCTCAGAATATTAATTTTGCTTTCTGTATAATTTATCAGTCAATTTTTTTTTTAGTGTACCTGAAGAACTACTCATGAGATACTAGCTTGAATTAAACCAGCGTTGTTTAAGAGCTGTTTTATTTATGACAAATACACATAAACTGACCTGCAGTGCACAACAATGGGGCAAGAACGTCCGCGGAATGACTTGTTCACTTTACTGCAAGAGAAGCAAATTAATCAATGTCTTTCCCTTTTAATAAAAATTCTGTTTTCATTTATGAATTTAAGAAGTGGCATTATAGAGTTATAATACATTACTACCAGTATGCAGAACAATATTATACGTTATTTCCATAAGACAATTTTCAAAATATATTAAAATATTGTATGAAAACCAAATAAATAATCATTACTTGACAAGTGGGGATTCTCTGAAATACAAATGTTATTTATAATTCCCAGGTGACAGAATAAACAGACACAATACACATTAACAAAATAATAAACTTATCTGATGTGACTGGACAAACAAAAATGTGTATAAAATGAAGCAATTACTGTTAAAGATAAATTGAACCATCACTTGTTGATGACATGTGAGATAACAAGACAATTCAGGTCAATTTGCTGACATAATGGGCTGTACAAACAAACATAGAGCAACACATTTTATTGTAAATTAAATTCCGATACTTTCCAAGGATTCAACAACAGAATTGTGACAGTGAAGCCTTCAAAAACGTGGAATAAAAACATGAGACCCCCTAGTCACAGGAAGGAAATTTTCATCATTTTGAAAGTAATTGCTCAATTATAGGAAGGCATAGGGAAGCATTCTAATGATGTGTCTAATGAGGGGGAGGGGGGTGGAGAATATGATTGTAGCAAGGGAAGCCTCACAGCAGTGGCAGTAATAATGTTGTTAAATTAGAAGCCAGGGAACCCTTGATGGAATTTTTTCCCTAGACAAACTTCATGATCAGCTCTTCTACAGGTACAAATTGGACATCATTTAATTTTATTCTGTTTTACTGAGCCCACTATTTATGGCAGAAGAGATGAGAAAGTAGAAAAAAATTTGTTAAGGTAAGAAAGTCATTGGTATAGAAGAGAGTGGGTCAAAATGCATCCAGATAAAATGCTAGAAAAAGAAAATTCAGGAAATTTATTTTTTAAAGGATTAACATTAATTCTGAATAAAATGTCACAATTCACTGGTGACTAGAAATATTCTAATTAGAAATGCCACTAAAAATCAGGATTTCAAATATAAATTATCTAAATACTTAATGCATTGCATCTATTCTAATTTTATGCATCCGAAGTTTTGAAAATAACATGGTAGCAGTTAAATAGTATTGAGGGGGGTCATATATTTGAAAAGGAAATGAAAGCAGGGATGTTTATAAAAATGGAAAAGTGTGTTAAATGATTGAAGATAAGCAACTAGAAGTATTTGAGGCACCAGTCCCATCACCAGCAAGCTGTTATTAGTAGAGGAAGCATGCAGTCCTGATCACTTTTGTGACTATGCAATTTGCCCACCGTACAATTGCTAAATCACAAAAGCTGCCAGGTAAAGCAGCAGTTAGTTGCCAGTATGAAATAGGTATGATTAATAAGCATACAGGAAATGGCCAGGTTAAGTAATGGTATGGGTGGATATAATTATTCGTGTTATGTTGTAGCCATGGAGATATATAATCACATCATGCATTTATTACGTTGACCATCCACAATACATCAACTTGAATTTCTATAACAAAATTCTGGATCAATCAATGCCAATGTCAAGTTAATCATACACAAATTTTTGAAAAGCACATCTAAAGAAGTTTACTAGATGCATTTATTACTGATTGTGCGCACAGAATTATTCTCCATTTGAAGTCTTGATTCTCAGCTAATTCAACAAAAAGTTAAACACAACAACTATGCCTTTTTTTAGTTTTTATATAAATTAGTGAACATAATTCCCCAGATACTAATAAGGGAATTTTTATTTTTAGAAGCTTAACATGAATTTGAATTATGGACGTTTGTAAATTATAGAAAAGAATTAGTTAAAAAGCTTAAAGAAAAAAACCAGACATATCAAAATACAAATTGTAACGTTTTATAGAACCATTAAAAAATATGAATATTAATTTGTGATATTAAGAAAGTGAAAAACGTTAATAAATCAGAAAACATATTTAATCAATTAGTCCAGTCTTGTATTTACAGATAGTTTTTTCTTGGTATTTTAAAAATCATTATGTTGTTTCAGATAAATATAATTAGTGGTTTCGAAAAAAGTGAATTTATCATTATGAAAACTGTAAATATGTTGTTAGTCCAAGTTAAAGATTAGTTGCCTTAAAAAGTATTCCAAATTTTTAATACTATCAGTAGTAAATGTTTTAGAATAAGCAAGAAATACTTTACAACTAGAGCAAGTTATTTTTAAAAAATAAGTCTAATAAACATATAAGTTTGTAAACATAGATAAGCCAGTTAGGCTTAAGAATGTACTATAAAATACACATATGCTTCTGCATTAGGCCAGTCTAGCCAATTTTAGGTTGATTATAACTTGAACACATAATTTAATACATACTCCAAAATATAACTTATTTTTTCATTGCACTAAGTATTACCAGAAACTTTACAAAAAAAAAAAGCGTAGCATTAAAAAAAAAGTTTAAAAAAAAATTATTTTGAAATGATCACAGCAGGTCTAACTACACCTGTGCAGTGTTTGTAAAAGGCAGCGAAAGCATGATCAGAATGGAAAGCTGTGCCAAATGAAAATAATCAATACGAAGTTGATTATTATCTGCCTATAGAATTAATGCTGATGCTGCCTAGACCAGATGAATCCATAATATCCAACTACTCAGAATTGAATGGGGTTGTCTATTTTCCCCAACAACCTGATTAGACTTAGAATATTAACTGAACAGTTATTGCAGGATAAACTTGTTTCTTTTCCTATTAGAAAACAACTGGACTACTATTTAAATGATTGGTAGGACTTAAAAATATAATTATCTGAATAAGCTAGGGAACAGTTACATACATTATGTTGGCTACATATTTTACTCGGAGCATAACTATGAAAGGATAGAATTGTTAAACAGAGAAGACTACTGATTCTATTTTCTTAAAGTATAATATATGGGGGGCTGTGTGTTCAAGCCATGTGAAGTAAATAGATAATGTAACAAAATATGTTTAGGCTTGAAAAACGGAAAGAACATGTTATAAATGCCTCCTTTAGCAGACAATACAAAACAATAAAAATATTATTTAAAATTGAAGAAATCCAGATGAAGATAACAAAGTAATTAATAAATACATACAGCTATTGGCACTCAAGTGTAAAGAAAAAGGATAATATTAAAAATTAAACAAATTCACAAACATTTTATCTAAAGAACAGAATGCTAATTACACTTGAAATGTTGTCTCTAAGAAATGTAACATCCCACTGTGATATGGAATAAGGAGTGCTCATAATTTGATAAAAATAAATGTTTACAAATTTTGTAATGGGTGCATATGATTTTCATTTAAAAGAGGATGGAAATGACAATAACAAACCAAGGATGTAATTATAATCTTAGAAAGACATAACCTACAATGATATACTCAAATTAAAAAAAAGATGTTCCAAATATTGGATTCATGAGGGAGCACACATAAAATCATTAATAGAAATTATCACAGAAAGATACAAACCGTCTGAAATCAAGAAGAGCCTTGATGGAAGCAGGGACAGACAACTCCGGCCAGGTCAGAAAATGAAACTGGGTTACAGTTCGGGTCTCATTGGTTTGAAGATTCTTCAGGTAGAAGCTGCGTACCAGGTAATCATCACACCAGATATGTTCTGACACCAGGTGGACCTTTGTGAGAGCAAATTTCAATCTCTGTCAGTAACTAATAAATGCTAATTTATTAGTAACTAGCATTAGCTAATTAAGAAAGCTAGAAGATTAATAATGAAATCTCAAAAAGGGACACAACTCTTTACCAAAGAGAGTTCAGATTAAATTTTAGCTAATGCTTTTATAAAGAATGTCTGAAAAAATTTGATCTCAATTTTCTAAATCTACTTTAACTCTTAAGAGCATAAATATGATGGAGTTTAGAATATGGCAAAAGGAATTATGTTAAATATATTAAAATTAATTTAAAATTTTCATGATATTCTATTGAAGCCAGAAGCGTTTAATGGGCAAGAAAAATGGCTGCTTAAAATGAAGGATAAGACTCCAGAAATGCTTCTTGTGTACAATGTTATTTTATAGGGAAAATTGGTACTCTGTTCTTCATGAAAAACTAAATTCAGGTCTTAAGTGTATCAATGCCATTAAAGCTAATGCCAACTGTAAGCGTCTCATCAAGCTATTTTGTGAAGAACAAAATGCAGACCATGAGAGACTTTTTACTTCACACTGAAGTAAGGAGGCAATAGAAAGGGAAATGCTTGAAAAGATTAAGGAACTATTAGATCCTTTAGGTGACTTTTTCAGTGAGAAACCTGAAATTAAGTACCTTTTAACAGTTAATGGTAAAGCATTTGTGAGTTATTTAGCTGATATCTTATCTTGAAAAACTTAATAAATTAAATTACCAACTTCAGGGAGAAAATAAAAACCCTGTTGATGCAAAAGCAAAGATATTGGTTTCATTTCATTATATTTACTGAATTAAGTCAGAAATATGTTTGTAAGAAAAATTTTGGAAAGTTTCATTGGCTCAAAAAATTTGAAGTGATTGATACTGCTATACTTGTTATTGTTGATCAACTAAAAATTGTGTCATCTGATTTAGAAGAAAGATTTTGTAATTTAAAAAAAATTCATTTTCAAACTTGGATGATGAAGCCAATGTTAATGGATTTGGTCTGATTTTCAAATATGCAATATCAAAAATATCTCGCAGAACTGTTTTGGATGAGTTTGTTAAAACTTTATTTACTATAAAAGCAGCGACGGCATGGCTTTGTGAGGAAACAGAAATCAATATCCTAATTCAACCTAATGTGGAAGACAGCATTTGTTACCATTTCCATCTCCATATTTAGCTTAATGTGAATTTAGTGCCATAAGTTATTTGCTGCTAAAAAAAGAAAAAGAAATTGGTTGGATGTAACACAGAAGGGAGACTTGACACTGAGGTTATCTAATTGGAGCCTGACATAAAATCATTGTGCAGCAAACATCAAGTGCGTGTTTCTCATTAAATTAGTCATTTCGCACTATATTTGTGATCTCTCATTGTCTTTTAAAATTATGAAATAATGAATACTAAATGAAATAATAAATTATTAAAATGTTTTAGAAAAATCTTTCATTTTGTACCGAGTACTTGAATTTCAGTTCTCCATTCAATTTTTTGAAAATTCACTTACTATGTTTTCTTAAAAATTTCTTTGTAAAACCTATTCATTTCTAAAGTCTTTTTCCTTCTTCCTAAAACCCATCATTTAGATCTCATTCAGTGATTATTTCAATTTTTAATCAAATTTTAATTATTAAAAATTATGTACTTATTACATAGGGGGCATACAAATTTTAGAAAAGCTGGTTTATTAGGTGGGGCACGGCACAAAAAAGGTTCTGAAACACTGTATTAAAGTAACAACTCTTAAAGTGTTTCTATATTTTGCATTTCATCACTAGACTAGCTACATAAAGAAAATGGTGCAAATAGGGGACCGCTTCATTGTTCGCCCACCCAATAGGCTTCCTGGCGGTTCACTACTAAAATGATCCAAAAGGTTAATTTTTAAACTTTTTAACATAAATACAATACACTAAAAGGAATTACATTTTATTTACCTCATAGATATGATAGAGGTCACTTCCTTCTTCAGGCCAGTAGCGATGACACAGGCTCGTACCATTTTCAGCTAGTTTGGTCAGCATCACTATAACAACAGATCCCTGCTCCCAGATCATCTAAGCAGTTTAGATATAAGATAAAGCTGTCATACAAGAAAGTCCTATGTATTTCTAATATCTATTTTAACATGACAATGACATGACCATTTTGATTTTTAAAAAGAAATGATTTTAAACCACAATAAGGGCCTTATTTGAAGACTCAAATGGGCTAATAATTAACGTCTTAACTTTTTATTTGATATTAAAATAAAATACATGTAACGTAAACAGAATATATTGTGTTTGCAGAGTATAAAAACTTGGTGGTTTATAAAAATTAAACCCTGATTAGTCTAATGGATGCTAAATTGTATGTTATTCAAAACCAATGGGCTATTTTTAAAAACAACAATCAAGTCAATCAAATCTGGAATGATCTTTAAATAAAGAAAATTATATGTAAATTGAAAAAAAAAGTTAAATAGATATTTAAAATAAACAGTTTTTTAAAATATTATTCATGTTGCATCTTAAAGCAATGTAAAAGGTGGCATCAAAATAATTTAATTGTCTGACTACTACTGTGAAATCAGTTAACAAACATGTACCTCTATAAAAGTACCTGACAGTCTCGCACAAAACATTTTAAACAATTCAATCTCAGTGGTTTTTCAATCCAGGTTATACAATTTACGAAATAAATCAAACTCATCCCTTAAATATCAAGGCCTTTAGTTATTGTATTAAAATGTTGTCAGATTTTTGCTCTTTGAAAGAGATGAGAAAGGGAGGGAGTTAGCAAACAAGCTGTGCCATCTTTTGAATCTCACCACCCATTTAGCTATGACAATGAAGCATTTCTCTCGTGATATTTTACACATTGTAATTGTTGAAGAAGACATAATGAACCACTTACCTGCCAGAAGTCAGCCACTGTGTGAGGGAGTGGTCCTTGAGTACATATATAAGCTGGATTTCGGGGGTCATGGTCCGTCTGTGGAGGGAATGTCAAAAGATGAAATATTTGCCAATTTTTTTTTATCCCTGTACCCATCTTTAAAAAAAAAAAAAAGACTTAAAAAAACATTCTATGCCAATAAAACAAAGAATATCAAAATAACTTATTTCATAACCTCCACTCAAACACGCTACTCCAACATAAAGACAGCATTCATCTGAGCTGTGCTGGAAGGCCGATAGAAAACTTAAGTATGTAATAAGTTTAAATAAGCACAGGGTGTGATTAAAATTTGCACTTTAGCTATCGCTCATATTTCAGTGAATGCATAATGGGCAGTACATAATAGAGGTGGAGGGTGTGTGGTGGGTTGAGACAGAGGATCAGAAAACTACGTTAAAGAAGGTTAATGACCTCACAGCAAAGGGAAAAGAAAACAGAGCGTTGAGTTGAGAATACAAACATAAATTGTGGTCGCAACTTTCAAAAAATGAACACTGCCGATATACAGCCCCCACTCTTTTATTTAAGCATTGCGATGAAATAAAATGAGTTTAAAAAAAATAAATACAAAATAAAGCTGAACAATTAGCCTATAGAGCTTAATTTTTTTAAATAGAATTTACAATTTATTTTTAATATGTTTTAGTTTCACTTGTAAGGGACTCATGCATCTCATGCGTGACACAGATATTAGGGTGACACGGATATTAGGGTGACACATATATTAGGGTGACACAGATATTAGGGTGACACTGATAGACCGGTGGTGTAGCTAGACCATTTGGCCTTACACAGGTTCAAATTTTCTTTACCGAATCCTGACAAGTTTGAACAAAGGAACCTTCTCCTCTTCATAGTACACATTTTATATTTAAATAAGAAAAAAAAATCCCAACAACATTTAATCTTACGCCACTTAACCTAAGACAATGGTCGTAAAAATAGCACCTCGCGAGTCGCATGCAGGCTCTTAACGACCTAAGTGCGGCTCGGCCAGTCGGCCACAAATCGGGGTTGACTCCCAAAAACATGGTTTTTGACAGGTTCTTACAAATAATTTTGGCTCTCAATTATTTATTTTTTTAAAAATCGTCCTGCTGCTGATTTTTGGATCTTCTGACTAATGAGTTTGCCGTGCCGACCACTGACTTAAGTCCTAACTGAGACGAGAAAGGCCAAGACGTTTCAGTAAGACAGAGAACGGTATCAATAAAAGGTCGCCGCTAAAGGGATTTAATAAGAAAAAAATCGTAGCAATGTTTGCCTTGCTGAAATGTGGCTGATCTAAAGTTATCACCACGGTTCTGTTTAATGTTGGCTGATCTAAAGTTATCACCACGGGTCTGTTTAATGTTGGCTGATCTAAAGTTATCACCACGGGTCTGTTTAATGTTGGCTGATCTGAAGTTATCACCACGGTTCTGTTTAATGTTGGCTGATCTGAAGTTATCACCACGGTTCTGTTTAATGTTGGCTGATCTAAAGTTATCACAACGGTTCTGTTTAATGTTGGCTGATCTAAAGTTATCACCACGGGTCTGTTTAATGTTGGCTGATCTAAAGTTATCACCACGGGTCTGTTTAATGTTGGCTGATCGAAAGTTATCACCACGGTTCTGTTTAATGTTGGCTGATCTGAAGTTATCACCACGGATCTGTTTAATGTTGGCTGATCTAAAGTTATCACCACGGGTCTGTTTAATGTTGGCTGATCTAAAGTTATCACCACGGATGTGTTTAATGTTGGCTGATCTAAAGTTATCAACACGGATTGAGAATAGCATTCATTTACTTGAGATCATTGCGCTATTCATACTTTTTGTTAAAATACAACCTTTTATTTTGATGTCGTTAAAAGTTTGAAAAAAAAAAAAATCTGTAGTTTTCAATATTATTCGATATAGATCTACAAGAATAAAGCAAATAAAAAAAAAACAAAAAAAAAAAAAAAAAAAAAAAAAAAAAACTGGAATTTTAAAATATAATCCAAAAAAAACCAAAAAAAAAAAAAAAAAAAAAAAAAAAAAAAAAAAAAAAAAAAAAAAAAAAAAAACAGGCGAGCATGCCTACTGAAAAGACACACGTTAAATTTATTATCTTCATCTATTTAGTTTATTATTAATTTAATTCTAATTTGAACTCAATCAGAACAACATGCATGTCTTATAAATGGCCAGTTATTAGCATAATTATACCATATAGCTTCATGGAAAAGTATGTACACAAAAATATATATAAAAAAATTCTATATTAAGTTAGATACCATCGTAAAATAAACAACAAAACAACAGATTTTTCAGTGCAGCAAATCAGGCTTGCTCGTAATAAACTCGTTGTTAAAAATTTTTTTCTTCTGTTCCTAAGGAAGAGTCAGAGACACACATTCGTCGCCCCCCCCCCCCCCCCCCCCCCCCCGGTCTTAAATAGAATTACTAACGAACCACCAATAATCGTGCACCAAGTTTCCTACATAACTGGAAACAAATGAGACTAACGGTGCACGGCGCCCTGCACGGGAAGTACCCGATTCACTGCGAGTGTGTGGGGGTGGGGTAGGTGGGAGGGGGGGGGGGAAGGGCTGAAATAATGGCCAGACTGGTCGGTACTCGGGGAAGTGCAGAGCCATCTCTAGCGTGCTGCTGTAATGATTCAATCCCATCAGGCTTTTAGGTAGTCTATGATGCATGACGCGGCGTCTGTTTTAGGTGCGCCGCGTCATTAAACCAGAGTGGAGCGTTAACCTACGGAGGTAGTGCAAGGTTAAATGCTAAATTCCGCAGCCTATCGAACAAAGGTTAAAAATTAGCACCCTCTCCGCGACGTAAACTTTCCAAGTCTAAGTGATTTTAGACAATAACTATAGAAATCAATCAATCTTAAGATATGCCATCAAATAATTACAGTTCAGGTGTATACAGGTATTATTATACTAGAATAAATGGCCCGATGTTATCGGGTAATAATGGTAGATCCTATGCGATAGTTTCTAACTTCTATTGCAAAAACTCATCACAATTCATAAGTTTAAAAATGTAATAATATTTACGTTTCTGACATCATTACGTTTTCAGAAGAATTTATCTGCTCTATATTATAGGACTACCATACTCCTTTTCACGCTCCTAAACTACTTTCCCCACCCCCCTCTAAACATGACCTTAAAATACACAGTCTAAATTATTACTAATTATTATCACTTTTGTCACTAAATAAGTTAATTGAGGGACACTTATTACGTTAGAGAAATACTTTAGATTTACCCCTTTTCGTGCCCTTGAATTATAACTTTTTTTCTCTAATATTATATAATCAGCAAATTTTTGCAGTTGTTAGGGTGAAGTAGAAATAATAAAATTACAAAAGCTGACTACGAGTCAATTGACTGATAACTTAAATTGTGTAGAAATTACAAATACTTCTTTCCCTTTCTCCTCTTTTAGAACCAAGTTAAAAAATAACAATTTTTCAACTCTAAAAAGACCCCCCCCCCCCCCCCCCCCCCTTTTCCAATCCTAATTGATTTTCCGATTGTTTTCCTCTACAAAATGAAGAATTTAAATTTAATGGGAGCGTGACCAACAAAATATGGGGCGAAAAGATGTCACATAACAAGACACTTAATTTGGAAACGTGTGTCAGCTCGTCAGCTTTAGGAAATGTTTCCGCCTGTTTGAAATGTGAGCCCATGGCAGTGATTTCACACACGAAACATTACAGACAGCAATATCCAGAGAATCATGTTGGTTTAAAATCCCAGTGTCGCAGTCAATGTTCCCTTTAAAGTTTGTTGGTTCGTGTGCAAAATCATAAAGTTGTGTGCAAATTTTTATAGCATCAATTTTTTTTGTGCGCAAAATTTTACAGACTACAGACACAAACACACACTTAAGAGGAAATTAGCTGCGCGGTACTCAAAACTGCTGCGCAGCGTCTGCGAGATTACTGCGCGGCCGCGCAGCCGCGCAGCTTAAAGGGAACATTGGTCGCAGTTGAAATTTAAGCAAGGAACGAGGACACCGTAAACTTGTGTATCGTGTGGTAACCAATGTTCCCTTTAAGCTGCGCAGCCGCGCAGCTAACTCATAGACGCCGCGCAGCAGTTTTGAGTATCCACGCAGCAAATTTCCATGTAAGTGTGTGTTTTTGTTTGTAGGCTGTACAATTTGGGACACACAAAAAGTGATGCTGTCAAACTTTGCACACGAACCAGCAAACCTTAGAGGGAACATTGGTGGTAACTCAGATGTATGGGATAGAGGAACAAGGACACGGTAAGCTTGTGTGTCGTGTGGTAACTCAGATGTGTGGGATAGAAGTGAAACCTCCTACTTCTACCACTCTCTCATTTCTCTCTCTCTCTCTGCATTGATCTCTCTGTCTGTCTCTCCTTCTCGGTCTCTCTCCATCTCTCATAGTTTACTTCTCTCTCTCTTTGTCTCTCTCTCTCTATGCTTTGATCTCTCTGTCTCTCTTTCCCTGTCTTGGGCTTTCTTTATCTCTCTCTGCCTTGATCTCTCTGTCTCTCTTTCCCTGTCTTGGGCTCTCTCTATCTCTCTCTGTTTGCGCCTCTCTCTCTCTCTCTTTCTCACTCTCTCTTTCTCTGTTTATCGCTTTCACTCATTTGAGGCAGCTAATGGAATCTAGCCTATTCTCTATCTTTTCTTCAGAAAAATCTGCTCCCTTTTATTCACTCATTTGCGAATGCATGACAGCAACAAAAAAAAAAAAAAAAAAAAAAAAAAAAAAAAAAACAAAAAAAAAAAAAAAAAAAAAAAAATATATACCCCCCCCTTTCTTCACTCGTTTGGGACCCCGAAGAGAACCCCCCCCCCCCCCCCCCACCCTCTCACTCATTTATCGCCCCATTTTCTCACATCGAGCGTTTTGTCTATTGATTGGCACAGAGAAAGAGAGAGAGAGAGAGACAGAGAGAGAGAGAGAGGGGGAGTGTGGTGGAGATCAGGAGATGGACTGCACTATATTAAACTGAAAGTCTGCAACATGTCCGAGTACAATGAGAGCGCTGAGTGGACGCTGGCTCTAAACTAATACGGGCGATGAAAGGCGAAGATTGCATATTTTTTTTAAGGAGAAAAGTGTTTAGGTGCTCAAAGTGTCGCTTGAGTAACATGTCAATGGTTACAACGTTACAAGCAATTTAATATGGTTAAGATTTAAAAAAAACAACAACTGATTGACGTAAAAGGATTTCAAGATGTATCTAGGGATACATAATGATGAGCTATTTGAGCGTGAAGAGTAACTTCATAGTAAGAGGGATCAGCGCTTGAGAGGGATCAGCGCTAGTGATTTCTATCGTGCAAATCTTTCTGTTGGAATTTCACAGTAGGCCATCCCACTACCCATCCCTGCCACACCAGTACTCATCACTGCCATCCCGGTACTCATCCCTGCCATCCCACTACTCATCCCTACCATACCACTAACCCTTCCTGCCATCCCACTACTCATCCTTACCATACCAGTAACCCTTCCTGCCATCCCGCTACTTATCCCTGCCATCCCACTACTCATCCTTGCCACACCAGTACTCATCCCAACCATCCCGCTACTCATCCCTGCCATGAGCTCAGAGACAATGCGGGAAGTATTAAGGGTTCAAAAACATAATTCTCGGAGTTAGGTTTGGAGTGTGGGGGTGGGGTGGGGGTGGGGAGGGATTTAAGAGAATCGGAATAACTGTTATAAGGACACTCTTCTACCACCCAACGTCTACGCCCATGATTGACCGACACCGACCAAGATACCAACCCCACTGAATGGATTCGAGTTAAATCCCACAAGTCTGTGAGAGGAAATATTCCATCAATTTATTCCTCATTGGTCGGTCGGCCATCATTGACTGTCAGCAGCGAGAGATCATGCACCAGGGGAGATCATTCATTTCAAACCTGTAGCGTTCCGCCCCCCCCCCCCCTTTTTCCCTCTCCCCCTCCTTTCTGTGCTAAGTTTTTTTAAAATAAAGACTAATGTTTAAGGCAGACATTGTAACATATCGCAGCGGGGACCACGGAAATGTTTTTTTCTGGGGACCATCGATGTCACTTGAAATCAGAGTGGATTTCAGCCATCGAACATTTTAATGTAAAAGTAAATAAATAAATACATAAAATAATTAAGAAAGTTGTGGTTGGGGGGGGGGTGGTGCCCGAGGCATATCACTAAAGGTGGAGGTGTTTAATGGACTTGTAGCGTGACAACCGACGTTAGGTCAGGTTCGCCTGACGTCGGGGACAGACCATGGTGCCGGATACTTGCGGTAGGAGACAAAATGCTGCGTGACAGGGCGAATGTTGGGTGAGTGGGAGGAGAGAAAAAAGCATGAAGAAGAAAATGGACCCGCGTCTCTCGTGTGTCCAGATATTTGAAATTAGAAAAAAAAAACAAAAAAAAAACTGCCTGTGTAGCGTTTTCAATGCAAAATGGTGGGTCTCGTGTTTGGATGTGTTTTTTGTTGTTGTTTTTTTGGGGGGAGCGGGGAAGAAACTTTTCACAAAATCAGTGGCATAGCTCGGGTTAGCGCACCCTGGGCGAGTCAAGATTTTGACGCCCCACGAATAAACTCTGCCCTCAGACGGAAATGAAACTCCTCAAGATATACGACTTAATGGTTTTTTTTATCTTGATGATATTTTTGTAATTCACGAGACTTGAGAAGACTATCCACTGAGAAGACTATCCACTGAGAAGACTATCCACTGTGAGCACTATCGACACAGAAGACTACCCACTCAGAAGACTTCTACTCAAAAGACTACCTACTGAGAGGACTATCCACGAATCAAAGGGCTTAGACACAGTGGTCTGTTACATCATCCACCATCATCATTCACCATCATCATTCAGACACCCGTAAAAGACACCATCGGAACACATTCATTTTCATCGAATCGAAAAATAAATTCAGACTGTAAAGTATTACATTAGTTTCACCCCCCCCCCCCCCCCCCCCCCATAAAAAAAAATAATAATAAAAATAAACAATAAATTCAGAATGAAAATTGTTACATTACATTCATTTTCACCTATTATAATTTAAAAAAAAAATTCAGACTGAAAAGTGTTGCATTACATTCAATTTTATACTTTGCAGTATCACTTCTTCGTGAACTATTCCTCATGACTCAATACACGATAGCCGGGACTACTCTCTAAAGCTCGGAATGTAGCTATTCACAAATGCTTTCAAACTACTCTCTTCTCGCCAGCACAGCCACGCCGGACAAAAGATAATAACATTCCCGATCTGTTAAAATGATTTTAATTACCGAATCGTTTACTTTTCACTCATTGTCTTCGCTTGCCAGCCGAGACTCGGGGCATTTCCCAGAACTACTCTGTGTCATGTCGTTCTCGGGGAACAGCGGACGCTGGCAGGGGCAATAACGGCTGACACCCAGGATGCAAATTTCTAACCGGTTCTTACCTGTCGTGCGAGGCGGAGCGCTTAAAAATGTATTTTGCCTAGTACCGGAGTCGGGACATTGATTGGTCCCGGCGAATGTAAGCCGGAATAAATCGGCATATGGATTTTGAAAAAAAAAACAACCATAATGTTGCGAATAACTTGAACATAACTTAGGCCATTGGCCAACTTAGGCCATTGGCCAACTTAGGCCATTGGCCAATGGCTGGACCATTTTGTACGCTTGCTCAGTTGCGGCATTCTTGATTCCCCCCCCCCCCCCCCAAACCCATGTGTGTCGTATGGTCAGAAGGGGCAGGGAACCCCAGGATTGGTTGCCGAGGAGTGATTGCAGACAAGACATAAAATTAACGAATGTGCCTCACACGTCAGCGGTGTCGCAAGATCTCACTGTTAAAGTTGTATTAATAAGGTCGCAAGATCTCACTGCTAAAGTTGTATAGAGTTGTATTTATAAGGTCGCAAGATCTCACTGCTAAAGTTGTATAGAGTTGTATTAATAAGGTCGCAAGATCTCACTGCTAAAGTTGTATTAATAAGGTCGCAAGATCTCACTGCTAAAGTTGTATAGAGTTGTATTTATAATGTCGCAAGATCTCACTGCTAAATTTGTATTAAGGTTGCATCGTAGCAATTCATAAACGAAAAAAAAAACAAACAAACAAACTTCGTTCAAGATGTGATTTAAATTTAATTTTTATAAACACAAAACATCATACATAAGATACCTTTATAATTCAGTTTTATCGTGAATTTACTTTAATTGTGTATAAATTTCAAGTTTTAATTTTAAAAAAAAATAAAAAAAAATCTTAGAACAAAACGGGAAAGGATGGAACCCAATCGTCCCACTGACCCAATTCCCACTGCATCTCAAAATGTGTTCCCGAGAGTTTAAATGGCGAGTTTATTAAAACTAACTGTAGGCGGAATGTCTTACCGCTGAATGTCTTACCGTTGAATGTCTTACCGCTGAATGTCTTACCGTTGAATGTCTTACCGCTGAATGTCTTACGGCGGAATGTCTTACCGCTGAATGTCTTACCGTTGAATGTCTTACCGCTGAATGTCTTACCGCGGAATGTCTTACCGTTGCATGAATACTCTAAATTTATTTAAAGAAAAGGGACATTAAAAAAAAAAAGTTAGGATCTTTGGGTGTGGAGGTTAATCTTGAAACAAAAAGAGACAGAATAGAATGAAAGCACGAACCCTGGCCCTGGGAAGTAAGAAGAACACGCATTGAAATAAATAACATAACTGTCCCAGAGAAGGACAGTGTGGAGTGAGAGGACGAGCGAGAGGCCACGAGAAAGGACGAGCTGTTGACAAGTTAATGTAGTAAACTATGCCGTGATTGCCTGGACGCTAAAAGCTAATGGACAAAGATTACTCTTCTGATAGATTCATGAGATAGGGAGCAAAGCCCGGGGGAGGGGGGAGTCAGGTTTGGGGGGTGAGGGGAGGAGAAAGAATTGAATTTTGTAAAAGAAGGAAGAGGCACATGTTTCTAGGAACGCTGTGTAATATTATTGTGATGGGTTAGGGGGGGCGGCGGAGAGTCGGGGGGGGGGGGGGGGACGCTTTTGGGGGAAGGAAGAAAAGGTCCCTGAGAATGACAGCATGCCATAGGTAGTGAAGGAAGCACAGGTACCTGAGAATGGTAGGATTCCATAGGTAATGAAGGAAGTACAGGTACCTGAGAATGGTAGGATTCCATAGGTAGTGAAGGAAGTACAGGTACCTGAGAATGATAGGATTCCTTAGGTAGTGAAGGAAGTACAGGTACCTGAGAATGATAGCATTCCATAGGTAGTGAAGGAAGTACAGGTACCTGAGAATGATAGCATTCCATAGGTAGTGAAGGAAGTACAGGTACCTGAGAATGGTAGGATTCCATATGTAGTGAAGGAAGTACAGGTACCTGAGAATGGTAGGATTCCTTAGGTAGTGAAGGAAGTACAGGTACCTGAGAATGGTAAGATTCCATAGGTAGTGAATGAAGTAAAGGTACCTGAGAATGATAGGATTCCTTAGGTAGTGAAGGAAGTACAGGTACCTGAGAATGATAGCATTCCATAGGTAGTGAAGGGAGTAAAGGTACCTGAGAATGGTAGGATTCCATAGGTAGTGAAGGAAGTACAGGTACCTGAGAATGGTAAGATTCCATAGGTAGTGAATGAAGTAAAGGTACCTGAGAATGATAGGATTCCTTAGGTAGTGAAGGAAGTACAGGTACCTGAGAATCGTAGGATTCCATAGGTAGTGAAGGAAGTACAGGTACCTGAGAATGGTAAGATTCCATAGGTAGTGAAGGAAGTACAGGTACCTGAGAATGGTAGGATTCCATAGGTAGTGAAGGAAGTACAGGTACCTGAGAATGGTAAGATTCCATAGGTAGTGAAGGAAGTACAGGTACCTGAGAATGGTAAGATTCCATAGGTAGTGAAGGAAGTACAGGTACCTGAGAATGGTAAGATTCCATAGGTAGTGAAGGAAGTACAGGTACCTGAGAATGGTAAGATTCCATAGGTAGTGAAGGAAGTAAAGGTACCTGAGAATGGTAAGATTCCATAGGTAGTGAATGAAGTAAAGGTACCTGAGAATGATAGGATTCCTTAGGTAGTGAAGGAAGTACAGGTACCTGAGAATGATAGCATTCCATAGGTAGTGAAGGAGTACCTGAGAATGGTAAGATTCCATAGGTAGTGAATGAAGTAAAGGTACCTGAGAATGATAGGATTCCTTAGGTAGTGAAGGAAGTACAGGTACCTGAGAATGATAGCATTCCATAGGTAGTGAAGGAAGTACAGGTACCTGAGAATGGTAGGATTCCATAGGTAGTGAAGGAAGTACAGGTACCTGAGAATGGTAGGATTCCATAGGTAGTGAAGGAAGTACAGGTACCTGAGAATGATAGGATTCCATAGGTAGTGAAGGAAGTACAGGTACCTGAGAATGGTAGGATTCCATAGGTAGTGAAGGAAGTACAGGTACCTGAGAATGGTAGGATTCCATAGGTAGTGAAGGAAGTACAGGTACCTGAGAATGATAGGATTCCTTAGGTAGTGAAGGAAGTACAGGTACCTGAGAATGATAGCATTCCATAGGTAGTGAAGGAAGCACAGGTACCTGAGAATGGTAGGATTCCATAGGTAATGAAGGAAGTACAGGTACCTGAGAATGATAGGATTCCTTAGGTAGTGAAGGAAGTACAGGTACCTGAGAATGACAGCATGCCATAGGTAGTGAAGGAAGCACAGGTACCTGAGAATGGTAGGATTCCATAGGTAATGAAGGAAGTACAGGTACCTGAGAATGGTAGGATTCCATAGGTAGTGAAGGAAGTACAGGTACCTGAGAATGGTAGGATTCCATAGGTAGTGAAGGAAGCACAGGTACCTGAGAATGGTAGGATTCCATAGGTAGTGAAGGAAGTACAGGTACCTGAGAATGGTAGGATTCCATAGGTAGTGAAGGAAGCACAGGTACCTGAGAATGGTAGGATTCCATAGGTAGTGAAGGAAGTACAGGTACCTGAGAATGATAGCATTCCATAGGTAGTGAAGGAAGTACAGGTACCTGAGAATGATAGCATTCCATAGGTAGTGAAGGAAGTACAGGTACCTGAGAATGGTAGGATTCCATAGGTAGTGAAGGGAGTACAGGTACCTGAGAATGATAGGATTTCATAGGTAGTGAAGGAAGTACAGGTACCTGAGAATGGTAGGATTTCATAGGTAGTGAAGGAAGTACAGGTACCTGAGAATGATAGGATTTCATAGGTAGTGAAGGGAGTACAGGTACCTGAGAGTGGTAGGATTTCATAGGTAGTGAAGGAAGTACAGGTACCTGAGAATGGTAGGATTCCATAGGTAGTGAAGGGAGTACAGGTACCTGAGAATGGTAGGATTCCATAGGTAGTGAAGGAAGCACAGGTACCTGAGAATGATAGCATTCCATAGGTAGTGAAGGAAGCACAGGTACCTGAGAATGGTAGGATTCCATAGGTAGTGAAGGAAGTACAGGTACCTGAGAATGGTAGGATTCCATAGGTAGTGAAGGACGTACAGGTACCTGAGAATGGTAGGATTCCCTTGGTAGTGTAATGTCCAAGTTTTAAAGGCTTCAGTCACATTTAAAAAGAAAAAAAAAAGGAGGGGGGGGGCTGTAACTTAGATTCATTTTTTTTTCACATTCAGATAAAGCGTGTTCCTTAGCGTCTAAAGTAGCACCAACAAAACTTGAAGGGTCATTTTTAAATGCACACGTGAATGCCAACCTAACTGTTCTAGTAAATTGGTGTTTTGAAAGGGATTTTAAAGTACAGAAAATACAATCGAAATTGCAAAATTGTTTTTTGTTTTGTTTGTTTTTTAAAAAGTATCTCTATCATCAAAGTTGAGGACCTTGCACACATTTATTTTTCTTTCTTTATCTTAAATTTTCTCTTAAATTTGATGAGTGGCATTGGCGTTCGGGTACTCAGGGCAACTATGACAAATCAGATATTACGTAATGTAAAAAAAAAAAAAAAAAAAAAAAAAAACCCCCACCTTTTCCAATCAAAGTCGTGTATACATGTATTTATATACATGTATAGTCTAAACATATAAGAATTAAATTCACGAAAAGCGGTTTTCCGAGATGCCGAGAGCCACGCTAAAGCCATTAGTTAAATGAAAACTGCCGTTCAACAATGTATTAAAAAAATATCTCTCCGTTGGTAAAGCTTTGCCTTGCCGGTAACAGAAGTCCACATTGTACCGACGGCAGCTATCTGAATCGATGTAATCTATTCATTACGTTTAAAAGCCTTTATTTCCAGTTGACGCACAGCACAATTTGTGCATTGTAGGCGCACCAATAGAAACACATACTGGATGAAAGGAAGATCCTCAGCTGACAAAATTACAGACAACCATATATATATATACATGCGCATTGAAACAACTAGATGTTGTAAGGATAATACAGAGTTTAGGATGTCGTTTTAAAATGGTATCTTATTTTTTTCTTCTATAATTTATTTCAATACTTGCTTCTGTGCTGAGCATTCTTTGAAGAATTGTCGGATGAAATTGAGTGGTTACATTTTTTAAAAGTTCATATGTCGTGTGGGATAAAGTCCAAACGGCATTCCTTTTGTCATGCGTTCATGAACCCCATTAAAATGACAATGCAATAGTTGGCAAAAAGAAATATATATATAGCTCAGCGGGCGTATCTAGAAAGAAAATACCCATTAGTCTGATTGCGGTATAATCTTCCAGTTTTTCAAGATTACCAGAATATGTTTCCATTATAATACTTCCGGGGTGAGTGAGCAATGTTCCCTTTAAGCTGCGCGGCCGCGCGGCCGCGCAGCTATCTCACACACGCCGCGCGGCAGTTTTGAGTACCCCGCAGCAAATTTCCATGGAAGTGTGTGTAAAACTTTGCACACAACTGTTTGATTTTGCACACGCACCAACAAACCTTTTATTGGGTGGGTGGTTGCTTCGTCCTATAAGTTTCGTAAAAACCATTTAAAAAAAAAATAAAACATAAAATAAAGTGACAGGGACGATCACCCTGGTTTAACTAATAATGTCCTCCATTAAATATGTTCAAACTGTAGCCGTTCGTGGGGGCGCGGCGTTACAAGGATTGGGGGCTGACAGTCCCATGAGAAACTTTAAAACGATCAGGAAAAGATGCAGGAGAAGGATAAGAATTCTGATTGCATCGAGCCCGCCAGTCGTCGCTTCCGTCACACACACAACGGGAACAAGCGAACAAAATCGATAGCAACAGTCATTGTCCGTTCCGTCCGTGGAGTCGATTTCGTGATGAGATCCCATATAATGGTGCTTAAAGTATCGATTCCAAAAGTGTCCGGTATCGATTTTTAACCACTAAAAAAAAAAAAAAAGTAGGGTAAGTTGAACGAAATGATAATTGATTTGCTAAATAATTCTCAGGACTACGTGGAGTCGATTTCGTGATGAAATCCCATATAATGGTGCTTAAAGTATCGATTCCAAAAGGGTCCGGTATCGATTTTTAACCACTAAAAAAAAAAAAAAGTAGGGTAAGTTGAACGAAATGATAATTGATTTGCTAAATAATTCTCAGGACTTAGGGAGAATTTTTGTTGCCGGGAAGCTAAATTGATGACGATTTCAATGGAACCGTTTAAAAGAAAATAAAAAAAAGACTTAGCTGAATATTTAGTTCTAACATTGTAGGGGGTTGGGTTGATTGACTTGAAAAAAAAAAAGCACCCGTTTATGAAGAAATCTCAGAATCTTTGAATAATCTGTGATTATATTTTTGGTCGGGAAGAGAAGTAAAATACATTTCTCCAATTTCTACACATTAAAAAAAAATGAATTTAAAAAAAAAAAAAAAAAAAAATCATGAAAAACTAAACTAAACTAAAAGACGCATCATTTGTTATTCTGCGAAACAGGGGTTTCACGTTGCGTTATTAAAAGTTGATTACGGAAAGAGAATCTCATTGTCGCGGCTCAGATTTCAGGCTCCCACGTGCACGAGGATTAATTTACATTTTATTTTTTTGGTTTTCATTTGGAGTCAATCCGCCGGCAGACCGTGGGTATCGGGTTAAGATGGAAGGTAAGGTAACATTGCGACAACATTGTGACAAGATTGTGACAACATTGTGACAAGACTGTGACACGATTGTGACAAGGTTGTGACAACAATGTGACAAGATTGTGACAAGGATGTGACAACAATGTGACAAGGTTGTGACAAGGTTGTGACAAGGTTGTGAAAAAAATGTGACAAGATTGTGACAAGATCTTGACAACATTGTGACAACACTGTGACAAGATTGTGATAGTATTGTGACAACGCAACAATGAAACACAAACACGCACACACACACGCAAAGCAATATTATATGGAGATGAGGGATAGTGGTCGAATTTTAAAAAAAAATTAAAAAAATAAAAAAGAAAAGCTTTATTATTAACCCCCCCCCCCCCAACCAAAACATCACTATTGAAAGAGGTTTAAACATTGATGACATCATTCCCCCGCGTTATTGGTTTGATCTTTTTTTTTTTGTGGTCCAATAATGATGGCGTCTAAAATGATTGACGACAATCCATTTCAACTCCAGTGATGACGATACAAAGAATATTCAACTTGGCATTCCCCACACATTTAACATTCGACTTCCGGTCCTACCCATGTCCCTAGTGTTGTCCCCCCCCCCCCCCTTTCCACCCCCATCTAACCATAACTATGTAAATTAAATCGACATTTATTTATGGCCGACAGACTTTGTTGAATTAAAATTCAATAATCATCTCTTCACAAGGGCAGGATGTTCTAAAATCTTATATTGGAATAAAAAAACAAAAAAACCCCCGACTTTTTTAGTGTTTGTTGTTTAAAATTATTCGACCCATACTTCATTTTTATCGGTAGTTAAGTAAACCATGCAACGTTTTTGGTTTAAAATTAAGAGCTCACAGCTTTAATGCGCCGTCCATAGACTTGACCAACTAATCTCTCCACCCCCTCCCCCAATATTATTTTGGTCGGGGGAGGGCATGAGGGGGTACCGCCTGGATGAATTATATATTTAAAAAAATTAAAGTTCACATTTCGCTGATTCCCCCGCAGCTCGCGTCGTGTCCACACACGATACAATAAACGCATAGGGGTAGAGAACTGGTGACAACACAGGCCACCGAACACGGCACCACTGCCACCGTACATACTCACACTACGAAAAAGTACTTACTATGAAGTTGGCGTTGATGTAGTCAGAGTTGGAGACGTTGGCGTTGGAGGACAGAATAACTCGGGAGTGGTCATCTAAAGAAATAGAAGATAAACATGAATAGATAACATCCCATACGATAAAAAGCCGGTTTGTGGGGGGGGGGGGCAGTTTGGGTGATTGGGTACACATACGTCACGGTACACCACGTGATACAAAAAAAATCAACATTAGGGCAAGGGAAATAGTGTGTGTGTGTGTTAAATTTTGATTCAAATAAATTTGATAATTGTTTCCACATATGCAGTGTAGTATCTATAAATGGAATTATACAACGCATATTGCATTTTAATAGACAAAAAATATATATTTCAAAGCGGAAATGATAAAACAATGCCAGATAAATGTTCTTACAGACATTTTGATGATTAATAATCATAGTGTAAACCAGTGGTTCTCGACCTTCATAATGCTACAACACTTTAATACAGTTCCTCTTGTTGTGGTGACCCCCAACCATAAACTTATGTTTCTTTTTAACTTTATAAATATGTGTTTTCCGATGATCTTGGGCGACCCCTGTGTAAGGGTCGTTCGACAACCCAAAGGGTCACGACCCACAGGTTGAGAACCACTGGTGTTAACAAACAGGTCATGAGCGAGTGATCCGTTGAAATGCCCACCTTACAGAACAACTAATATGTTAAGTCGTTTAATAATCTTAGTTTGAGCACACACGACATGAATGGGCGATCCGTTGAAATGCCAACATTACAGAAGCACTAATTTGTTAAGTCGTTTAATAATCTTAATAATCTTAGTTTGAGCACACACACGACATGAATGGGCGATCCGTTGAAATGACCACATTACAGAAACACTAAAATATTCAGTAGTTCACACTGAGACGAAAAAAATCCCGCACGGATGTTGGTGGTGGTTTAGCGTCACCTGACTCCCATCATGTCATTGGCTAAACATGGTAGATTGCTTAAGTCACCACCAAATTTAAAGTGGCGTGGGAGAGGGGGGGCGGAGAGGGGTGGGGCGCAGAGGGTGGTCCAACCCCGGGCGGAACTTTTTTATTAGTATTATTTTTTAATTGAGGGAGGCATTTGCGGCCGACCGCATGAGGAAAAAAAGCTTGACCTACCCCGGGGCGGCACCTACCCTTTAAAACAGTGGTCCTCAACCTTCCTAATGCAGCGACCCTTCAAGACAGTTGCTCATGTTGTGGCGACCCCGAATCACAAAAATTATTTTCGTCGCTACTTCAAAACTGTCGAGTGTATTTGTTTTCGCATGTTCGCCCCCAAAGCGACCCCCCTCCCCAGGCTGAGAACCGCTGCTTTAAACCATTATTTGGGAATGCATCATTAATTAAAAGTAATAATTTAATATTAGCCCAAAGTGTTTGTATCTACTTTTAAAGACACCATTTACTTGCCTTGCCCCCCCCCCCCCATTCACGCTCTCTCTCTCTCTTTAGCTCTTTACGATTCATGGCATTTGTATGAAAAGAAAGTATAGTACTACACTATTGGTTTTAAACCACTTAATACAAACGGAATAATATATATCATTTTTTTTTTAAAGAAAAGGCAAGTTTTTATTTTTAGTCGGCAAATATAGCCATGATTGCTTTTCTTTCTTTTTTTTAAAAAAAAAAAAAAACCCTTCTTTCTGAGTCAAAATGGAAAACGGATTATAGAGAAGAACACAATCTGCAGCCAATGGCGGGGGTCATCAGGGACAGTTTCAAATAAGATAAAGTACTGTAGTAACAATGGAAGTGTGGGGGTGGGGTGGGGGGAGGAGAAAAAGCCGGGAAGAATAATGTTGATGGCTCGTCGGGGCCTTTGGGACCTTCAGCGGGAGGATAAAAATTGTCTCCCCTCTCGCACATTGAGTTTGGGTTAGAAATCAAGCGGCATAACATTGTGTTGATAGGAGACCGGCTGAAACAGAGGTCCTCAAAGTTGTGCAATCGAAGGGTCGTATATGGGGGGGAAAAAAAAAAAAG